TATATACAGGTACACAATTTCACCACCATTAGATTTAAAGCATTGTCACTGCCCTCAAAAGTATTCCCTCTGCCCCTTTCCAGTCAATTCCCACCCTCACCTCCAGCTCCAGGTAACCACTAATCTATTTTCTAACACTCTAACTTAGCTTTTCTGGAATTGTATATGAATGGGATCATGCAATATGAAGTTTCTTACATCTGGTTCTTAGCACAGGGTTCTTGAGAATCATTCATGTCCTTGTATGTGTCAGTTGGTCATTCCTTTTCATTGCTGAGTAATATTTCACAAGTAAATATTCCACTTTCTATTGTTCATCAGTCACTAGACACTGCAGCTATTGGGGAGTGAATACTAATGCAATGAATATTCACATTCAAGTGTGTGCATACATGTATCTTTTAATTTCTTTTAAATTGGCAGCTAGGGTGAAATTGTTGTATGTACATGTTTAAATTTTAAGCTGCTAAACTGTTTTCCGAAGTAGTTGAACCATTTTCATCATCCCACAGGCACTACAAGAAAGTCCCAGCTGTCCCATATCACCCACAGATGGATGGTCATCTTCTTAATTTTAGCTATTATGTCTTTGGGATTTTAAGTTACATTTCCTTAATGACCAAGAATGATCACATTTTCATGTGCTTGTCAGACTCTGCATATATCCTTTTGTGAAGTTGCTCCTCAAACCTTTTACCTATTTTTAGCGCTTGCATTGCATGCTCTATTATTGAGTGAGAAGGGGTTTTCTTATTGCAGTAAAACCTTGGGTCGCAGGTAACTTGTTCTACAAGTGTTCTGCAAGATGAGCAAACATTTCTAATACATTTTCACTTGCTAAACAAGTGATGTCTTGCAACAAGAGTAATGCTGAAACAGGCTACCACATGATCATAAGTGATCCAATGCTCTCTCTCTCTCTCTCTCTCTCTCTCTCTCTCTCTCTCTCTCTCTCTCCCTGTGAAACTGGGGTCGTCATCTCCAAACACGGAGAAGTTATGGAGGAGATCTCTCTCTTTTTTAGAGGAGGAGGAGGAGGCAGAGGAATCAGTCCCTCCTTCAAGTGAGATTAGAGAGATGTGTAAAATGTGGGAAACAGTGCAAAATCGTGTAGAAAAGCACCACCCAAATGAGGCTGTAGCAATGTGAGCTGAGAATCTGTCTAATGACGATGCATTGTCACATTTCTGTGAAATCCTCAAAAGGCAGCAAAAGCAAGTGTCATTGGATAGGTTCTTTGTCAAAGTCGCACGAAAAGAAAAAGATTCAAGTAAGCCAATAGACAGCAGTGACAGTGAAAGTCACCCTGTGCCATAACCCTTCTTTCTCTTGTCTCCATCCCACCAGCCATGAGGGCTTTCAAAGGTAAGTCCAGGGTTAGTTTGCTTATTTTTCCTTATATTTTTATTTCCCTTATGAATTGGTATTACATTACAGTATTATAATCATTTTATATGAATATGTGGGGATTTAGAACAAATCATCTGAGTTTCTATTATTTCTTACAGGGAAATTCACAGTAATAGATGAGTGCTTTAGATTACAAGCATTTTTCTGGAACTAATTCTGCTTGCAAACCAAGGTTTTACTGTATATTCTTGAGATGAGTCTCCCGTCAGACATATATTTGGAATTTTCTTTACATTTTCTAAATGGTATCATTCAGTGAGCAAAACCTTTAAATTCAAAGATGTCCAATTTTTCAGTATTACCATGTATAGCTTGTATTCTTTGTACCCTAAGAAATATGAAGCCAACACAAAGTCGTATGAATTTTCTCTTAATTTTTTTTTCTAGGGGTTTTAAAGTTTTAGATCTTAGCATATAGGTCTGTAGTACACTTTAATTTTTGTGGATGTATAAGTTAAACCTCAAGGTCCCCTTTGCTTCCTGTACATGTCCACTTACTCCGGCACTATTTATTTTATAGTGCCATATATCCCTACACCTTTGTCAAAAATCAGTTGACTATGTCAGTGTGGGTTTATTTCTAGATTTTTCAATTCTATGTCATTTATATGTGTGAGTGTATATAATATAGTTTTATTATAAGTTTCAAAATAGTGTGTTTTTCTAGAAAATCATTTTGGCTATCATAGATAATTTACTTTGCCATATAAATTTTAGAATCAGTTTGCTGGTTTTAAAAGTGGTTTCTGGAATTTTCATGAGATTTCATGAAATCCGTAGATCAGTTTGAGCAGAAATGTCATCTATAATGTAGTTTTCCAATCCATGAACAAGGTGTGTTCTCTATTTACTTTGGTCTTTTTATGTTTCTCCCAGCAATGTTTTATATTTCTCAGAGTACTGGTCCTGTGCATATTTCATTAAGGTGAATTCAGTGTATTTTTATGCTATTGCCAATAGATTTCATGTTTAAATTCCATGTTTAAATTATTTGATTTGCGAATAGATATGCAACTGCTGTCTGTGTGTTGGTCCAATGTTCTACAACTTTGCTAAATTCACATAATGGTTTAGCACATTTTTATAGCTTCCTTAGTGTTTTCTACATACCATATCAGGTCTTCTGCAGATAAGACAGCTTATTCAACATGCAATCCTTCTATTTCCCCATTTTACCTTATTGCATTAGCCAGGATCCCCAGATGAGGAGGAGTGGTAAGCTGACATCCCTGCCTTATTAGTGGTCTTGGGTAGAAAATATTTAGTCCTTCTCTAATAAAGACAATCCTGTGAGGTTTCAGAAAGATGCTCTTTATTAAGGTTCAGGTTTTATATTGTTTGCTAGGAGTCTTTGTCATGAAAGTATGGAATTTTATCAATCTTTTTCTACATCTCTAGAGTGAGCCTATTTTTTTTTATCTTTACCCCATTAAGATGATATCTTGCTGCTGTAATAAATTACCATGAATTCAGTGGCTTAAAAGAAAACAAGTTTCTTATCTTATAGTTCTGTGGTTCCGAAGTCTGAAATGAGCCTCCCTAGACAAAAATCAAAGTGTTGACCAGGCTGCTTTCCTTCCTGGAGGCTCTAGGGAAGAATATATTTCTGTGCCTTTCTCTGCTTCCAGAATCTCCCATACTCCTTGGCTTATGACCTTCTTCTTCCATCTTAAAAACCAACGAGGGTGGAACAAGTCCTACACATGGAGTCACCCTGTCCTGCCCTTCTGTGGTCACATCTCCCTATTCCATCCTCTGCTAGCTCTGAGGACCCTTATGATGAAATCTGTAAGTCAATATGAGCAGAAATGCCATCTACTATACCTGTGTATAATATCAGTAGTTTCAAATTCTGTGAGACCTGCTCTGTGATTGACCACATGCCTACCTTGATGAGCATTCCATGTGCTTAAAAAGAATGTGTTCTCCTGGGCTTTGGGTGACATGCTGTATAATTGTCACTCAGCTCAAGTTGGTTGATAGTGTTGTCCCAGTGGCCAATATCCTAACCAGCGTTTTGTTCATATGGTCTATTAATTACTTACAGTAGAGTACTGAAATACCTAGTTGTTGATTTTTTTCAAATTCTCTTTATAATTCTGTCAATATTTTCTTCATATATTTGCAGCTCGTTGTCAGAGGTACATGCATATATGGTTGTTTTATCTTCCTCTATACTTAGCCTTTCATCAGAATAAAATCTCTCCCCTTGTTCGTACTACTGATCTTTGCAATAAAGTCTATTTTATGTGATTTCAACACAACCACTCAAGCCCTGTTATATTTCTGTTTGCATGATACACTTTCTTCTATCCCTTTACTTTTGACCAGTGTGTGTGTACCTTTGACTTAAAGTACATCTTTTTACGCAGCACATAGTTAGACCTTGACTTTTTTATTTAGTCAGACAATGTCAGTCTTTTGGTTAGAGTGTTTAGTGTATTCATATTCGATATGCTTATCAATAGGATTGATTCAGGCCTGCCATTTTCTATTTTCTCTTCCTTTTTTGCCCTACGCTTCTTTTCAACTTTCATTTGTGTTCAATATTTCTTAGCATACAGTTTTAATTTTTCTTGTTGTCAACCTACTTACATTTCTTTGCCTTTTTCTTCCTTTCTGTTGTTGATCTCCTGATCAAAATATCCATCTTTAGCATACTTTAATTTTCTTCAAGCTCATATTGACTTATTCCAAATGAGACAGAGAAACTTTGAGCCTCTCAGCCACCCCCCACGTTATCTGTCCACGTACATTGCACATATATGTCGTATAAGCCCTATATTGCAGTAATATATCTTACAAATAGACTCATGCATACATGTGCTTTCCAGTCCTATTATTCCATCCTGTAGATCTGAATTACCATCTGGTGTAATTTTCATTCAGCCTGAGGGATTTCTTTTAGCAATGTAGAACAGGTGTGTTACGAATAATTTATTTCAATGTTCTTTATTTGGAAATGTCTTAATTTTGCCTTCATTTCAAGTCAAATTTCCTGAGCTATAATTTAGATAAATTAAAAATAATCCTTTACGTGCAGCTCTGAGTTTTGAAAGACACAACTGATTCTGTAACCACTGCCCAGATCAATATAGAACTGTTCCACTACTCCACAGGCTTTCTAAGGAACTCTTCATAATAAATCTTTTCCCGTCCGCAGGCCTTGGTAATCACTGATCCCCTTCCTGGTCCCCTGGAGTCCCCTTTTCTGAGAGTGCCACATAAATGGAATTGTACAGTATGTAGCCATTCCAGACTTGTACCTCTCGCTTGGCATATGCATTTGAGATTCATCCCTGGTGGTCCACGTACCACAGGTGATTTTGTTACATGGCTAATTAGTATTCTATGGTACAGATGACAAGAGTTGTCTCATCCGCTATTGATGAACATTTGGATTGTTCCTAATTTGGGATTTTATAAATAAAGTTGCTCAAAAAATTCCAAATACAGATTCTTGTATAAACATAAGTTCTCATATCCTCTGAGTAAGCAATAGTAATGGGATTACTACATCTTGGGGTAAAGTGGGTTTTATTGTTAAATATGTAACCCATTTTTATTTAATTTTTGTACGTAGTACAAGATATAGATCAAGGCTTTTATTTTTAACATACAGATGTTCAATTATTCCATGACCATTTGTTGACAGGGCTATGCTTTCTTCATTGACTTGCCTTCATACACATGAGGAGAAAGGGAGGAGAAAATCCCAGGCACGACTTTTCCTAGAATTCACAAGGAAGGACCTGAGCTTGGCCTATCACACCCCTGTTGTGGGAAGTTCTCAACAGAAGAGTCCTTCACTCCAAAAATTCTTGTCTAACTCTCCAGTCATGCATTTCTTCTAAACTCTTGGAGAATAGTATCCCTATGAAGAGGGAATTACTTAATAAGTACATAAAATGTTCCCATCCATCGATTGCCCATCCTGTTGAGTGCATTTCTTGAACTTGAGTCAACCTTAAGGTCAAGACTAGCCAGATGCTCATACTGGTCCTCACCCTCAAGGTTCGTTAGGTAGCTTAATGAAAGGAAATTGGTTATCCCAAGGATAGAGCTCAACTTGGGACTCTCTTGGAATGGGATTATGATGGTGCCAAGGCTCCAGACCCATCTTCTATCGCTGACATCAGTCCATGGGGGCAGTACCACATATGTATGCACACACACACACACACACACACACACACAACTTTCTCTGAAGCAAACACTAATTCTCAAATTACACATAGAGTTATACCTTCCCAGTTACACATAAGGAAGGAGAGGAAGAGAGCTTTAGCACTTTGAAATGTCTCCTGAAGTCATTACGTGGCTTCTCTGGGGGTCTTTGCAGAATAAGAATGGCTGCACATCTGTCATATACAGCCACCCCTCTGTGAGCACAAGGGACCTCATGAGAGGATCATCTGAGAATGACTTGATCGAGTTCACCTCCAAGAGTCTTTGTTCTCTGTAGTCACTGTGGGAAGGAAGAAAATGGTGTGGCCATTTCTAGATTAAAATGGAGCATAATAACAACATTTAAATTCCACCTGAAGATATTGCTTCATAGATTGAAGTCAATTGCTTGAGGGAGGTGGGAGATTTTCCTATACATTGGCGTGGGTTTTTTTTAAACTATGTAATTTTTTCATTCCCTGGAAAAGAGAGCTGCTTAAAAAATATCCTCCAAGAATATTTTGCCTTCTAAAGCACTATGAATATTTAAACAGCCAAAACAATAGCTCCAAGTTCTTTGCTGTTCTCATAATTTACCATTAAAGGTAAAGGAAGTATATTATTTGGCTCACTTCAAGAAAGAGGCAAGACAATACAGAATTCTCCACTTCTATAAATTCACTGATTTATGGCAAACACTGTTTCAAATCAGATAACATTGCCTTGGCTGTGAAATCGGTGTCTAAAGGGGAAAAAAATAAATCAGAAGAGAAATAAAAACATAGCAAGATCATTTTATGCTTCCTCCAAAAGTTAGACAGCATGTATCAGTGTCTTCATGACAGGGACAGTCTGGAGTCTGAGGTCGTCAATGGCTGCACCATCTAAGCACATCACACAATGGACTCAGTCCTAGTTTCCAGACCTTCATAAGTCAGTAATGAGCAGAAATCATTCCATGATGTGAGCCCAAGGCTGCTGGGCCCTTCAGCTCTAACAATTTATATCACATTTTATTTGCCTTATCAACAGTTGCCCAAAAGAGTGAGGTTGCTTTTCTTCCTCACTTTCTTTAAAATGAATATGCTCCAAAATTATTTCAATTATTATAGTAAATTCATTTATCTGAACGTGTTAGGGGATGACTGTAGTTTGAACACCATTCTGTGTCTCAGTGAAAAAACTGTGGTCATATAAAGAAGTAGGGAGTGCGTCACATTCCTCTCTGTTCTCGGGTATAACAGCTAACAAACCAAAAATATATAAATTAAGCATCAATGCATGCTTTTGAAGACTGCCCTGTTATGAGCAAATATCTGGCTGCTTCTGCAGGTGCATGAATCTGACATTTCCCAAACATTCAGTGTTTCCAATATTACTATAATAGAACTCATTACCTAGTGTCTGCTGATATTTGTAATTCTCTTTTTTACTGTATTAGTTATTTCATAATTAAGGATTGATTCTGCCAGGATTTCTTCTTTTCCTACTGAGACAACCAGGTTGTCTAGATTTCCCACAATCCACTAATAATAAAATGTCCAAAATTTAATTAATTAAATTACAAACCTACACTGAAATGACAATGCTTTTAGAAGTCAAGACTGGAACTTCAATTCCACAATAACCTCAGGAGCAGAATGCTAATAATGTTTTGATCTGAAGGGCCCTGATTGGTCATGAAATCTTGGGGAATGAAATGGATGTGTTTCTATTATTACTGCTCTGCCTATAAAATCAGAAAACCTAATGGGGGTGGAGCCCAATCCTAACTTCTGCTTTCTTCTTGGGATTCATAGCCTTTTCTCCAGTTCCCACATCTTAGTCCATCCTACTAAAGCCCCTTAGTGGAGGAGGAAAGATCCTTTGAGGAAGAAACCTAAAATGTCACTATCTCCAAGGGGAAATTTATGAAGACTCTGCCAAGTCCCTGTGGCAGAATCACAGAACAGACTTGGGCTTTGGGAATTAAGCCATGTTCTTTTCTGCTAACACCAATTTTCCACCGGAAAAGCAATCTCTTGCCTGATTCAGGGCTCTGCAAAATATAGACTGTCCCACAATGAATCATCAAGTGGCATGAAACTCAAACCATTCTACATTCACTAGGTGTTGTCTGACCCACAGAGCCATCCAACACTGAACATTCATGGTGGCATTTCATTAGAAAATGGAAACGGCATTGTATCTGTTATCCACCATTTCGATCTTCTGCTGGGTTTATCTGGGCTCACAAGGGTGTGGTCTGTCTTGCTGAGGGGTCACTAGCACAATATCAAGTGTACAGATAAAAGGGGTCCAGTCATATCTGCAGTGAATGAGAAATCTGCCTAAGCCAGTCCAATGGCCAAGACCACCATGTAACACTCACCTCTTCTCCATTGACTCACACTTACAACTTCACAGGAAAATCCTTATGCTCAGGCTTCCAGAGTCTCCATATTTTCCAATGACTCATCAGCTTTGCATATGCGAAATACATTCATGCCCTTCCTGAATCTCACCCAATCATGATATCACCCTTGAAACTCACGGTCCCTCTATCTTTATTCAGAAGTGGACAGGGCTCCGTGAGACCAACAACTCTTAATCTAGAAAGCCATGAGATAAAACTCAAGTTATCTGCCCCCACACCACCCATTATACAGTGCTAAGAACAAGATCATCACAGTCAATATTCTCAGTCTTTAAAAAAATAACGAGACGTACACAGCACACAGCAGTCATTGCTCCATAGTAATTCTGAAATATACCCAGACACACATCAGTTCTGAGAGCAGAAAATGTTCCATGGATAAGGTTCAAGTCTTCATGGCTTTCCTTTCTGTAAGACAAGTTCTGCCTACAGAAACACAGGGGATCCAGGGCATCTTTGCATTTGGATTGACTCTGTCTCTTTTAGTTCAAGTTAGCAAACTCCTTTTAAAAATAATGATTGTGATTCACCCTGTGCCTCAAGCTGAAATCATGATTTCTTTTTCCCATAGAACGTCTGAGAGACAATGCCCTTAAGATTCTCAAAAGCCCTTCTGTCTAACTAGGAGTGATCAGGCACTAGCTGAAGCCTTTCAGGGGTCTCAAAACCACATCCTTCATTTGATTCTTGTCTTGCACCTGAGACTCTTTCTTCCATAAACACATTAGGGATGGGAAACTCCTGTGATCTAGCCAGCGGGTTCTATGTCTTTTTTACATCCTTCAAGTTCCGCTTACAGGCAGGGCCATTTTCTCTCTTCCAATTCCTGATGATATGCAGCTAAAGAAGCCACTGGGCACTTTGAACATCCTACCCGAAATCTCCTTAGCCAGATTCACAAGTTCAGGTGTATTTTCTATGTACTCGGTTATTTCAGGTGACAAATTTGCAAATTATTTAGCTACTGTTGAACACAGGTGGTGATCTTTTCCTCTTCCACTAGCAATTTTACTTCTTTTACCTTCTACCGGGTCTCAAAGACAGTGCCTCAAAGCATTAGGTTTTCATTGCTGCTCCCCTCCCACACTTCTAGGTATTGATTTTTGTTTCAGTTATCTGGATCTAATAATAAACCACCCTAAAACATAGAGGCTTAAAAGTCAAGCAAAAATATTCTGATTCTGTTGATTCTGCTGGATGATTTTCCGTGCCTCCCTTAGCTGCATCCTGATGGGGGGTCAGCTGGAAATTGGGCTTGCTGGGTCAGTAGAGAGGGCTGGGCCTCTCTCTCCCTGTGGTCTTTCATTCTCAAGGAGACCAGACCAAATTTCTTCACACACAGCCTCAGGGGATAGCATTTGGAGAGGGCTAGCCCCAGTGCATTAGCATTTGTCATTTGTGATAATGCTCCATTGGCCAACTGGATGTGCCCCACTGCACAGAGCCACTGTGAGAGCCAATGACCCAGGGGCATGGACACCTGGAAGTACAATTCGTAGGGCATTAGCAAAGCAATCTAGCAAGGCTACATGGGACCTGGGGTCCAAACAGAGTGGATCTCCATGTCACTGATCCCATCACTTTGCTTCTTTCTCATCAACACACACAATATGGTTTAACAGTGAATCTCTTAGGACCAAATGGAAAAAACAAAGGGCCTAGTTTGTTTATTCCAGACAGAAGAAGACAGCTACTCAGAAAAGTTGGTGGAGAAGGGAAGCCACCCCACGGGCAGGTGTTTGGGTGATGCTTTTAATTATCTGCACAACATGGAAGGAAAGGTAGACTGAAGAGAGCAGCAAGGAAAAGTAACAAGTAAATAGGGACCAAAATTGAGGACCTACAGATTTGAGGAGCAGATCAAAGGTAAGAAATAAGCTAAAGATCTGAAAGTAAATGGTGATGGTTTGGCCCTGGTCAGTAAGAGACAGACTATCCAAGAATCTGAAAGTGAAGGAAATAGAAACAAATCAACATGGTTAGGATGTAAAGGTAGCCTAGGGGTCCTGACTGGGGATCAGAAACCAAAAATAGAGGTTGAAAATGGACATAATCCTCTCTCAAGTGACTCCCAGTCCTACAGCCTGTGGTTCTATCAATTTAGTATTGTCTTTTTACCAATGTTCTCTTTCTTGCTCTTGGGTCCTGGGTCAGCCAACAAATTCAAGCAGTGACAACAACTGAGAGATTTGAGGTCCCTGATGAGATCCATTCTTTGTTCACCACAGCAATCAGTTTCATGGATCCCAGTGATAAGCTGCAGCATCACAATTCCATCCAAGCTGAGATGCTCGTGGTCCTTGAGGACCCTTTGGAAATTTTACTGATTCTATATCTCATATCTTCCACTTTAGTTCAAAAATCAAGAGAAAATCAGAGGAAAGAGCTACCTAAACAAATCACTGAGTGGTACCATAACAGGAGGAAGTGACCCTATCACCTATGATGGCCAAAGTCTCCTATGAGCTTAGAAAAAGATAATTCCTACCTCTATCTGTTTTCAACAAAAATAGAGATAATGAAACTTCCTTGTGCCTCAGAGGGTTATATAACATTCTTGAACATTACTGTTCACTCTCATTACTCTTCAAGATTGAAAGAGCAGTAGTTGATCAAGACTCGGGTTCCTTCTATTTTGGAGAGTGGTACCATGAGGACGTTTGGACTTCTGCTCCTCCAGTCTTATCTTGATTCCTATTCTGAACAGTAATTAATGTGCTATGCTCCTGAGGCAGAGTACCGGAAATGGGTGTAAATAGACGTTAGGTTCTAAAAGACCATATCCATCCCTCTGGCTGTAGTAATTGATTCAGGGATGGGCTTGTTAACTCATCAGAAACCATAAGAAGCATTATCAGAATTTTACTGGGAGTTGGAAAGAGAGATGTGAAATTGGATTGAGGTCTCAGTGGACTTTAAACTAGGTGGATACAAATTTTGAACTCTTCAAAAACATACAATCTTCAGTCTTGCTCATCAGAAAGGTGACAAGAATCATTTATTAAGAAGTAGCAGCTACTGTATACCAGACCCTGTGCTACATTGCTTATATGGCTCATTGCAGGATAGTTCTGAGTGGCCTTGATCAGCCAGGATCACCATCCTTTCTCACTGGTACTTCCAAAGAATAGCTATAGACTCTGCTGTAAGTGCAACACCCCGAAATAAAGAGGAACTAGACAGAAGAGCTTGGGCTCTCCTGGTGGCCTTAGAATTAGGATTTTCTTTAATGCTTTTCCATAGAAACCTTGTTCTGGTGGGATTTATACCCAAGGCAGGCTACTCTCTGACCTACCTCAGCTGTGGTACAAGTAGGGCACACGGAGTCACGATTTTGTCCACCCTGGGCAGCTCCCCTGGACCTTGAGTGAAGAGTTCACCCTAAATCCTCTCCCTGCCTGTCTGTAAGTACTAAGCCCAGTTCTCATAACATCTGGTACATGGTAGTGTTCTACCTCACTGGACTCAGGAAGTAGGTAAAAGCGCAGTTCAGGATGCAGTGGGCTGAAACAATAACCAATGCCCAGGGAACCTGCTTTGCAGTTATGTCACATAGTAGTCACAATAATCCTGTGCAATAAGTAATGTTGCTGTCATAGTCACTTGTAGGGGACAAGGAGATGTTCCAGATAGCACTTCAAAGATGGTCTGGTTGGCCTTGCTCCTGGAAGATGGCTATAAATAGCATTTGGCTGTCAGGTGCAGAGAGCCACCTGGCCCAAAGCCATGCCCTTGCCAGGCTGACCCATGTCCAATGACCCAGCTGGCAGAGGCCGTTTGAGCCCAAGGGAGGACAATGCTAATGGGGTACCTTAGCTTCAGAGCTCTCTGGGGGATCAGCCAAGGTGGAGGACCAGTTTCTACATCTTTCCCCCTTCCTTCCATAGATGTTGATCCCATGGACATTATTTCACTTAGAAATGTCCCTAGTAAATATCCAGTGCACTAAACTCCAACTTAAGAGTCTGCTTCCCGAAAAACTCCATCTGCAACAGTGTTTATAGATAAAATGATAAAGCAGGGAACTTCTTTCTAAACCTACTGCTTGATGTGTCTTTTGGGAGCTGGGACTGCCTAAGTAGCTGAATCTGGGTTTTGATCACTCAGGGAGGATTGGAATTTGGGAGTGGACCCCAGTGCACCTGGAAGAGGGAAAGTGGAGCAGTGGGAGCTTGGGGTGCTATGCAAGAGTCATCACTCCTGAAAGCAAACAAGATCCATCTGTGGGTGAAGGCTTGATGTCCAGTGTGACTACAGAGGTGGCTCACGGACCATTGCAACAGCACATGAAAGGGGGACCTTCATCTCTTTCTCTACAACTCAGAGTCTCATTGCTAAGACTGTCAGTAAAAAAAAAAAAAATCTAGGCATTTTAGCCGATGATTAACCACAGAAAGAGCATCTTACAATGCTATTTGCTTATTTTGGCCTTGAGTGTTTCTTTTGTGCAGGTACCATGTTAATTAAAATTACTTCTCTGAACAGGTACAGGAAAATTAACTATATTTCCTTTATGCAATTGTTTGTAATCATCACCTCCTGGTGGTCTTCTGAAATCTATTTAAATCTATTACTTTTTTAATATTGTGCATTAGTGAATTTTTGAAAGAAGAGAGTGATTACAAAGGATATACTTGCTTAACAGTGTGCTAAAAAATATCATTATGAGAAAGAACCAAGTGGACTGCCCTCATTTATCGTCATGGAATTAAATTAGAAATACATAACCTAAAGCTGTTGATAAGTATTTCAAATTAAAAATCAGGTAGAATCATAAGTATAGTTCCAAAATAAGGAAAATGGATAGCAGATGAAAGTGCCTCAAAGGAAAATGAAAGTAATAACTGAATAATTGGGAATAAAGGCCCTATAGGACCCAGCATGTTATAAAGCTAAAACCTTCTGAAACTCCCTTTTTAGCAAAAGTTTTTAACCTTTCAAACCTGAAATATTTCTTAAGAATGCTCTCCAAATTTATAAGCAGAATCCAAAAAAAGGAAATACAAAAAATGAAATCCATTCAGTAGAACTGAACTGCAGAATAGAATAATTTTGAGATTTCTTTCTTGAAACTCCTTAAGATTCAGGGTTTATTTTTAGCCTGTCATTTAAAAAAATGTATACACCCATCTTTGAACTTTAAAGATGTTGGTATTGTGTGTTGGTTTTCTTCTGGGGAAAGATGGGTGAGGAAAGGAAAGGGAAGCAGAACCAGGTCTCCAAACCAGCCCAAGGTCTTAAATCAACAACAAACCTTGGTCCAGAGGCCAGAAGCCTCCACCCATGCAGGTCCAGGAGGCCCAAGTCAGGGCAAGGCCACATCTGTGCCTGGGTCAGGAAACCTGGAAATTCCCACAATCAATGGTGAAGGAAAATGAGATCGCACAAAACAAATGATGTGATGCCTCATTGAGATAATTCAGCTTGTCAATTTCACTAGCTAGTAACCCTTCCCTACAGTTGGATACGTGGAAAAGGAAGCAGCCTCATCTTTATCAAAAAATCCACCAATCCTGAAAGCCACCCTCTGTGTCAGCTTTGGAGTCCTGGTCTACCCAGAAAGCACCCCACCCCCACCCCAGTCCTGTTCCCAGCTTCGCTCTCACCTAAAACCATTAAACTCGTAGGCAAGTGCGATTCCAGACACAGCACACATAACATGCAGGAGGAGCTTGAGTGCTCAGAGGGGTAGCAATCTGTGTCTCTGAAGCAGAACTTGTCTGATTTTTAGAAGCTGTCACAGATAGATTTCTTTTAGTTACACTCATGCAGACCACTGACTGAGCTTTCGGGGATAAAGGGATCCAGTGAAGCCAACTGCTGTGGTCTCCGGCCCTAATCAAATCCCATGCTGTGCTTGGTGACTCAACTCAATCAACAGTGGCTGCACACTGGTCTTGCAGAGCAGCGGCGCACACCACCCAGGCAACTGCTGCAGGTTCAGGAGCTTCTCCTGGCTTTGACAAGACAGACAGGCCACCGTCATCTCTTGGCTTTCTTGTTTAGCACGATGTCTTGCAAGAAACAGACTTTGTGAAACCCCTCTGCTGGTAAAACAGATACATAAACAAAATGAACAGGCATGATTACAGCAGCTCGAAGATTAAACAGGACGCCGGTGAGACAAATGCAGTCAAAGTGAATTGCCTTTCAGTGCTCCAGGGCTGTTCCCGCACAATCTCCCCTCCTGTATCCTTACTCCACGCCCCTAGGGCAGGGATGTTGAACCTTTTAGAGACGGAGCACCCAAACGGCCACCCCACCCCAAACTCACTTACCGCAAAATGCCAACGCTGCAATTAAACCCGAATGCTCAGATTTGAATTTAGAAAAACAACTCATACATTAACATCTTTTGTCTTAAAAGAAAAACAACACGCGTGCCGTAGGTTCTCCACCACTGTCCGAGGGACTGTTTAGTCCAGCTAGTTCTTCCTTATATCTATCTCTGACCCAGCAGACTCTATGGAGCATGAAAATCACCTATTACAATATTAATATCTTCTGTATAGGGGGTGTGTGACTCAGAAGAGCAAGTGAGATTATAGCCCCTCAGGGAAAATCAGCAGCAAATACAAGCTGGAAGGCTGTGTTAGGAGCGACTCGTCTGGTAACCGATGCTACAAATCGGGCAAACACCTGCCGGCATCAGAGTCATTTTTAGAGAGCAGACAGCATCAAAGGGCTGAATTTCTGTCATATAATGTAGAGATGTGGAATAAAAAAGTCTTGGCAATAAGAGGTTTCGATGAGCCCCTTCTTTAGATACGGTCAGCCGGAGGTCCTTGTGGGAGGAAAGCCGCTTTACCAAGTGACACAGAGCACCCGGCTAGTGAAAGGGCCGTTACAAAGTTATTCACCGATGGTATCTGTCACCCTTATAATCTGCTCCTCAAGCCGTTTCTCCACAGGGAAAAGACGGCATAAAAGAGAGGGTTGTGAAAAGCCGGAAGGAAGTTGCCCAGAGGCTTTGGAAAGGAGAACTGCTGTCTGCAACGACCCTAAGGAAAACAGGAGGTGCAGAGAGAAGCACTCCGAGGTGCCCCTAGGAATAACAACACAAGGCACGTTAAAGCCAGGAGCAGACTGCTGTCTAGATTTGTTCCGAATTCTGCGGGCGACCGGGATTCCGCTGGGTAGAGTCACGTCCTTTGTCTCCGATGCCCCTAAAGGGTCACCGGAGTGGGCGTGATGCAGCAGCGGACCACGGCCCAGCTGCGGAAGGCTCCCAGCAGACTGGGTCACGCTGCGGGGTCCGCAGGGCGGCGGAAGACAGTGACCCCCCCCTTACTCTGATCTCCCCAAAAGGACTGCGTTTCTGCAACCCGTAGCCAAATCTGATCCCCGAGCTCTGCAGGAAGAACTTACGGACACGGGTGAAACGTGGGGGTTGGGGTGCTAAGCTCCAAAGGTCCTCCAGCCCCCGCCCCGGGTGTCCAGCTTCGATTTGGGGTGGAGGGTCCACGGGGCGCTAGGCTGAGGGCAAGGGTGGGCGGCGAGCGGCGGCCCGGGCTGCTCCGCCCCGCCCCGCCCCGCCCCGCCTCCCGGCCCTGGCTGCACCGCCCTCGCCCTCCAGAGCGCGGCGCTGCGCTTGCTTCTATCCCCGAGTCGGCGCGTCGTGCGCCTCCGGCGCGGCTCGCCAGTCGGCCGGAATTGAGCAGCGTTCCTTGAATCGGCGGATTTCATGACGTCTCCCTGCGTGGTCCACCACTTTTTCCCTAACCAAGGATTTTTTTCCTGCCTCTCGCCTTTCCCCGCTCCCTGCCACTCACCCGTCCGCCCCCGTCCCTGCCCGGACGCGCGCCCCTCCGCGCCCCCGTGGCCCGGGCGCCCAGACCCAGGTGCGCGCTCGGCCGCTCGGAGCCAGTCCCGAGCCGGCCGCACCTGGCTGGCGAGCTTGGGCGGGCGGAGGGTTGGCGTCCGCGGGGACCTGCGAGCCGGGGCCGCAGCTGCGCGGACGGCGAGGAGAATGGAGTCTCCTAACAGCCTCCGGGACCGCTGCGAAATGTGAGCGTCTGCTTCCAGCTTTGCTTTTCCTTCTGTTCTGCATCGCCTGCGCTCGCCATCCACCGTGCGGTGCGTTATCAAATCTCGCTGCGCTCCAAGAGGGGAGACCATGATTGAGTGAGCCCACCCTGTCCGAAGCCAGGTAAGAGGCGCGCGCGGAGTTGCTGAAGCCGAGGCGAGGCGCGGCATCGTCTGGGCGAGCGGTGGGGTGCCCTCGGGCCCCGGCCCCGGATCCCTGCGTGCGCCTCCGCTCCGAGGGGGAGCGCGATGCCCAAGTCACCCAAAGGCGAGGGAGACGCCGGTTACATAACGGGAGGGAAATCTGTTTCGCCGGTTTTTCATGAGCAGCTGAAAACTCGCCCGGGTGGGATGCGGGTGGAGGAGAGGTCTGCACCCCGGGCCCCGGCACCATCTCGGCACCCGCTGGCCGAGACGGACCGCGCTGACGGACTGGCAGGGGCGGCTTGGGGTGTAGACTTCACAGCTGGGAGAAGCCCATTGTCCTCCCGAAAGCTGGAGCCTGGTTCTGTCTGCGTGAAGAGGCGCGGAGAGGGGACAGGAGGCAGGAAAACGGGAAAAGTGCGAAATGAGACGATGGGGGAAAGGGGAAAGTCCTCCGAACTGTCCTCCGCCAGAGACGTGATAGGATGGATGCGATGACCAAGACAGCGACCAGGAAGCCCTCCCAAGTCAACGGGATTATGTTGGGATCGGAAAGAAAAACGCCTTTCTGATAAAATAAGATTTTGTTGCTTGGGGGCAGGGGACGAATCTGCTGACTTAGATTCCTCCTGGGTGCATTTTCATTTGCATCAAGACATTAAACTTGGATTCGTTTTTAACTGCAATAGCCTTAGTATTCCCCAAACCCAATAAAGCCTGGGTGGATCCACAGGTATAGCTCGGGCAGTAGGCTCAATATGGACTCGTAGGGGAACATATCTTAACAGAAGCAGCCACAGAAATGGTGTGAGGTTAGCGAAGAAGGCAAATACCAGAATTTTCCAAAGAATCCCGCCTCCACTCCCAAAAGTGGAAGGGGGAGAGGGGAACGTCCAGCGTTTGGGAGTTCATTCCGTTTGTCTTTAAAGTGGCCCTGGTCTGAGTGTTCTGGAGAGCCGCACGCCCTCAGCCCTGCTAGCGCGGTTCCCTGCCTGCCTTTCTTTGCCGCAAGTCGGAGAAGGGGGTGCTCAGGAACCGCTCAGAGAGAAAAGGCGACTTGCTGTACAGTCAGAGCCGAGCTAACTAAGCTTCCCCTATTTTGCCTGGAGAAAGAGCTCCAGTCTCCATGGCGACCCAGGTGGGAGGGGAGACACCAGCTCCAATTACGGAGAGGAAAAAAATGCTGGACAAAACTTTCCTGGCTCTAGGTACAGAAATAATTCAGCTGCGTGCCTTTTGGAGGGTCCCCAACTCCCCGGTGGCGATTCGCGAGAGGGCGCCTAGACCTGGCCAGCTCGCCCTGCGCCTTGGCCAAAGTTTCCCTGGGGCCCTCGAGATGGTGCGGGTTCAGCACCGTGGCCAGCGCACCGGCGCCCGTCAGCCGGCGGGTCTGCAGCCCCAGGGAGCAGGACTGAGGATTCCTCCGCGGTAGGGAGCCCCTCGTTTTCTAGAACCCAAGGATTCCTTCCTTGCCCGTGCTGAATCTGGATATCAGATTATCCAGAATTACGGACTGATTCACGTGACGCTCCGGAGCTTGCTAATCATCCATTCCATGCATGGCGGTGCAATAGAATAACTATCAATGCCATGGAAAAAGAGAACGCTCGCGCGCGCACACACACACACACACACACACACACACACGATCAGCGGTGGTCCTCCTCTCTTTAACGTTCATTAGGCATACATGCAAAAAGCTGCTGTGGCAGCACTGTGGTCAGCGAGACACCAACACCCCGGTCCCGCCTCAGGGGCCTCGGATCCAAGAGGGCAGAAAAGCGGTTTACTCTTAGTCCTGACTCGCAGGCTTCTTCACAGAGTTGGTGAGCTCTGAAAGAGGAGAGGGTGTGTAAAAGAGGTGAGAGCCAGGGATCGGAGCTTCATGCCAGCGCCTGAGCCTGGTGGCTGCACTTCCAAGGTTGCATAGGCAACTGAGAGGAGTCATTTCTCTTAGTGCAAACGACAAAGAGGCTGTGCAGAGCGAGAGGACTTGGTTCATCTGGACGTTCATACGGGGAAGAGCAGGCAAGTCCTTGGAGTCGTTCTGCTTTCACCTTAGCAGAACGTTCTCCACCTTTGGTAGTAGCTGCCACTGATGTTGGTGGAGAATCCAGGATAGTGGAAACCACCTTTTGAGTAGAAAGCATGAAGAGCAGCTCCCAGGTGTTGGAAGGGGCAGTTGCATGGCAGTCAAGGTTTTGCAACTGTTAGGAAATGTTGACAAAACTTCTACAATGTCTCTGGCTGCTTTTCTCTTTTGAGGAGGTACTTGTGCATAAGATCTTGAATTGCTTTGGGGTTGTTATTGATAAGGGTAAACAAAATATACCCTAGCGCTGGGGATTTAGCTCAGTGGTTCTGCTGCCTGCCTTGCAAACGCAAGGTCCCAAGTTCGATCTCCGGTACCAAAAAACAAAGCAAAACAAAACAAAATATACCCTAGTTTTCTTTGCTGTGTTTTCCAACTGTAGGCATGTTGTTGTTTTTTTCTAAAGATGGTGCACGGAATACTCAGGATATGGTTAAAGCAGTGTGTTTATGCCTTTCAGTCTTTTTTTAATGATCAGTAGCTAGGGAAAGCAGACCAATTTATCTCAAACCTAGGGAAAAAGATGAGATAGTACACTGTTTCTTGAACTTTGTTTCCTGATGGATGTTGACAAGTTTATCCATGATTTAGTCTACCAAAGAGTTGTTATCTGAAATCGAAGAAGCGATGCATAGAGAGAGTATCGCTAGGATGTGAACAAGCAGCTGAACCTTGGCTTGGTTCCATCTGACATTGTCAGCAGAAGAGAAGGAAAGATTCACTATGGAGATAAAGCCACCCAAGACCAGAGGCTGTTAGGTAAATAAAAAATGCAGTTGTGAATTCTAAAGTTGAATGTCTATCATGAAATTTAAAAGGGAGAGGAGTGTAAATAAACTAAGTATAAGAAATTGCTCAGCCTCTCTGGTATACTCCATCTTCATGTAAGTAAATTAAGAAAATGGCTCAATCAATAACTTTCAGCTCCGGTAGATTCCATGCTCCTGATCTCAGTGCTAATTTACCAAACTATGACTTGCTTTCTTCCTAGGTGTCTACTTCATAAACAAAGTGTCATTATATCCCTATGCAGTCAATAGCACACTCCAAAATAATTGGATTTACCCATTTCAAATAAATATGTCAAGGTGAACAACATAGTAAAATTCACCCCTGTGTGCTTGATTCCATTCTGCAATTTTTAAAGAATTATTTTGATGCCTCACCTTGGTATTTCTGAAACATCAGTAAATAGTAAATTTGTTTGTGTGACTCAAGTCTTTATTTGATATATAGGACTAACAGTTTCCTTCAAGATAGGAACATACTTTAATTCACTATCATAATCCCCTCTATCCTCTGATAAAGTATCTCTATAGAATTTTTACAAAATATGAAAATGGCTATGAAAATGGCTATGTAACTGGCAACAGAAAATTCACTGGAAAGTAAAAACAAGTGAATATACCTTCAGGAACTCTTACACATATTCAATGATTTTCACAGGTATAAAATGTTTCTGCCTTCAAGGGTGCAATGTTTGTTTGTGTGAACCTTCAGGGAAACAAGACAAACTCTCTTTACTTAAAGGCTGGCAGGCAAAGTAGAACTCTTTCCCTTTAGCTAAGTCTTTATTAATCAAATGATATGCAAATAACATGTAGATTTGGAAGACCAGGGACGTCAGAAGAAGGAAGGAAACTTGGAGAAAAGGCAGTGCAGTTACTTTTTATCATCTCTGAAATGGCGATACTTTCAAACTACATTTTTAAAATTCATTGTATTAAACTTCAAGCTTGATGGAATTGGGATGCTTGAATTTAAAGAATTTGGATTTATAACTTCTTGAAATAACATCAGTGGTTTCTTTATACTAATCACCCCTTAAATACCAAGAAAGAATTGATTCACTCAAGAGTTTTATGAGATTATTAAATTAAATAAACCTAGCAATAAAAGCAGAATTGTTAGTTAAATTGAAAATTTATCTGAACACTTTTGCTGTATCAGGGACCCCATTTTAGTTGCAGTTAAAGTGTTTGGAGATAGAGAAAAATAGCATGGAGTCACTTGGGATAAAAACCTATTTCGAATAATCATAAATTATTATTTCTAGAAATAATTAAGGCCCTATCCAGAGAAGAGAGCATCATAATTGCAGTTAATAGTCTAATGATATTCTAAATTTCCTCTGACTATGGAGTAGAATATACATATACTTAACATCGTGTTGATAGCCTTAGTTAATAGCAAAATTATTTGCCTCAAATAAAGGACAGAATCATCTTTTTTAAATAGTATCCTTGTTTACACTATCAATTTCTCACACTAGAGAAACTATTCGGTATTTACACATGTGTGTCCTACTTATTTCACTTAAGAGTATGGCCTCAATATGCAAAGACACAGGAGTGAAGGGAGGGGAAGGGGAAAGGAAAAATTATGAGAAAAGAAAAAAAATGGAAATGAAATCTAGGTAAATAGCGAAGGGTGGAGGGGGTGAAGGGCGCACAGGTAATGGGGAAAAAAATAAGAACCAAGATACATCATGTACAGGTACAAACACCCAATGATAAATGTAAACGAATTATATACCTAAAATGTACGAATAAAAGAACTAAAAAAAAAAAAGTATCATCCCTAAGCTGTAGTTTTGATCTAGCCATATCTTAAGCAGTAGTGTTTGTTTGTTTGTTTATACTGAGTTGAACAGTTACTTAAACAAAACCTCAGAGAATGATTTGGAGCATTCACAGTTTCAATGGCCAAAGGTTCAAATGGACATTCAAATCTCTATTGGTCTAGAACATAAAGATCATCAAGCTACTTTCCTAATTGCAGTATGTGGAGTTATCCTAAATTTTAACCAAATGGTTATTTAATTCATTTCTGTATAGATGTCCCCAAGTCGCATTAAGTCCCTTAACCCCTTTGCTTTCGTCTTTGAC